CCACATGGTCAGGTTCTGGTGAGGGCTGTCTTCCACTGAGTCCTCACACGGAGAGACAGCAAGCAAGCTCACTAATCCCATTAGCAAGGCACTAATCCCACAATGAGGGCCCCACCCTCAGGTCCTCATCTAAACCCACCTATTTCCCAAAGGTCCCACCTCCAAATGTCATCACATTGGGGATTAAGGGTTCAACATATGAATCTGAGGGGACACAGTTCAGTCCATAACACCCCAATCTGTTCTCACTCAGATACTGAATTTCAGAACAGAGGACGGACATGAAGAGGTCCCTGGCTCTTACAGGATGTGTCTGTGTCACCGACAACCCAAGTAGGTTAATTGTTTTATTTTTATAGTTTCTGTTGTGTATCTTACAGAGTTGTGATGCCAGCACAGTAGCCACTGCTTCTGTGGCTTGACATGTGGCCAGTCAGAATTGAAATGTTCTGTTAAGTATAAAATATGCTCCAGGTTTCCAAGACTTAAGACAGCTCAATTTTTACATTGATTACATGTTGAAATGATAGTATTTTGGATACATGGGGTTAAAGTATACTATTAAATTAATTTCACCCACTCTTTTCTTTTCAGAAATGTGGTTACTAGAAACTTCCAAATTATACACGTGGCTCAGGCTTTTGGCTTGCATTATATTTCCATTGGAAAGTGCTGACACAGAGAGAAGGCTTTATAAACAAAGAGCACAGCACAGCCAGCCCTCTGACCTTGGTCAGTGAGCTCTTGTGGATCTCATGATCTGGGATCATGCTTTGGAACTTAACCTTGAGGATAGGGTCCAAAGCGGGCTCCAGAGAATGCGGCCTTGAGTTATGATGGCTTTGAACAGTCTGTGGGAGGCAGCCCCAGGGAGTTAGGGACCGATGGCCAGCTCTCCTAAATCTGACAAGGCTGGTTATTGTTTCGTTTAGGGACACATACGTGACTCACATTTTATTTCATTTTATTTTATTTTACCCTGGGTAGAGTTCCACAGAGTCATAGCTCACAGCAACCTCAAAGTCTTGGGCTCAAGCAATCCTCCTGCCCAAGCTTCCTGAGCAGCTGGGACTACAGGAGCCTGCCAAAACGGCCTAGTTTTTCTATTTTTAGGAGAGATGGGTTTCACCCTTGCTCCGGCTGCTCTCAAACTCCTGAGGACCGGCAATCCACCTGCCTCAGCCTCCCAGAGTGCTGGGATTACAGGTATGAGCCATGGAGCCCAGCCAGATGACTCACATTTTAAAACTCTAGAACCCCCCTCCCATGAGATGCCCACCTTTGAGGCTCACACATGCTCCTCTGTCCCCTCTGAACCTTAGCTTCAGCAGGTGGGACGCCCACTCTGATCACCCAGCACCATCGGCAATTCCTCTTACTCTCCCCCCAACCCAGCACAAACTATGAATTCACTATACAGTAAAGTGTGTAGCCGGGCCTGAATCTCATTACTCGCCCCACTTACTATTTATTAAACTTGGCCTTAGGCCCCACTATCTCACGTGCACGATGCTTTATTTCCCTGTAGTTCAAAGCTGGGTTTCCTGTGTTCCTGCTATTACAAACATCAGTGCTACGAATGTCTTTTACTTTTTTCCATTTGAATTATTTTATTGGAATGTCTTCCCTAAAGTGAAATTGGCTGGCTGGAAAGCATATACAATTTTATCGTCCCTAAGCCTTTTTTCTCCTCAAACCACTCTCCCCAAGGGCAGTATTGCTCTGTGCCACCGCCTCTGGGAAGCGCTGCGTGCCCGTTTACCCACAGCCCTGCCAGACCTCGGCGTGATCATTTGTACTCATTTTTACTAATTAATTGCTATATAAACTGGCATGTCCTAGATATTATACTTAAATTTGCTTAATTGCCAATGAAAATGACTAAAACCCAGAAAAATAAATAGCCACCATGTCCATAGTTGAGAAAAACACCTTCCAACTTTCTCCATTTGCCAGAATTTGGGGGCATCCAGAGCCGACCCGCAGCCTGCCATCAGCCCCCTCCCCACCTGAGGTTATCGTGGTGGTCCCAGGAGCCTCCGGCACATAATAAAGCCCAGTGTCCCCCGCCCCCAACAGCCCGCAAACGCCCCAGACGTCCCCGCTCCCTCTGCGACGTGCAAAGGAATCCTGGCGCTTCCTAACGGCCAAAAGTTGACTGTTTAGGATTGAAGACACTCTTGTTTCCGACGCAAAATGTTTCAGGAGACGCGACTACTGGGTTCTGCTCACAGCTTACTCAAGCCGCAGCAAGGCCTCGCCCTCCGCAAGGAGACTCCTGCGCGGCGTCCTCTCGGTGGCGCCGGCGGGGCGGGTGCCACTAGGTGGCGCCGGAGGGTAACTGATGCGGAGCGGGCTCCGCGCCGGCCTGTCCCCAGCCTGTCCCCCGCCCCGCACACCTCAGCCGGGTTTACCTCCCACCCAGCCAGACGTCTCAAAACACAGAAAACCAGAAAAGTTAATTCTAGCTAAAAATACACCAGCTGCCTGTGAACAATCTCGCTGTCAAGTCGACACCCGAAGCAGGTTAATAACCGCCCCGGAGCAGATGGTTTCCTTTTATAATTCCTGAGTCCCCCCACCAAGGCTTCTCTCCCAGCTGCTTCCTCGCCCTGTAGGCAGCCCGGGGCCCTTACCCGGGTTGTGTGGTGCCCACGGCTGGAGTGCCAGCTCCGCTGCTCCGCCACCAGGCCACTGGGCCACCAGGCCAGTCAGCCACTGGGCCACCTGGCCAGCAGCACGTGGCGCAGCCGCAGCCCAACCATGGAGCCCTGTTCACCCTTTGGCGAGTCGGCCACGTGGCCTAGGGGGCTGCCAGCACCCAGGAGCAGAGGCACACGAGAGGCCACCCCAGCATCTTCCTTCAACAGGTGACAACACAGCAGGGGGACAGCCAAGCCACAGGCCAATCAGCCCCACCCTTACTCTAAAGAGAAAAGAATCAGACACGACTGACCGACTGACCGACAGTAGTCAGGGAGGAATGAATGGATGCTCTCCGAGAGGCTGCAGCGAGGCGCGCACTCCCAAGCCCCGTGGTCGGGAGAGTAAGTTGGTGATATTGACTCTCTGGAAAGAATTTCGAACAAATATAGCAACCACCGTTAAAAAAACTGTTGCATACTTTTTAATGCAGCAGTGTTTTACTTTAAGGAATTGATACTAAAAGCTATCAATCATAATCCAAAATATTAAAAGAATGTTCAAACAAAAATACTCACTGCAGCCTCTAACAGTAAAAATGTGCCCCAAACCCCAACCCCAAGCACATGGTTAGGCCCGACGGAATACTATGCAGCCATTACAAGGAATTTTAAATTAAATAAAAAATGTTATTTAATATTAATTAAATGTTAATGTTAATTGATAAAAGTGTTTAAAAAGGTATAGACAGTGAAAATGCAGCTACATTAGCAAAGTACATACACAGCACTAAAATGATGGCAGGAAAGACACCAGATTTGCTATGGGCAGTACTCTGGGTGGTGGATTTTATAGTGGCTTTTATTTCATTACACTTTCTGTGATTTCTCTAAGTTTTCATCAGTAAACTGACAGATAAAAGGAAATGAACAGCCTTTGGAGACTGTTTAAAAATTGAATGAAAGACACTGGTGACAGTGGCCGCCTCTTCCCCTGTGTTTTAGAGACTTTGGCTGGTACCTTTTAAGTTTTACACCAGGCTGGTGTTATCTATTCAAAAACAGATAAATATATTTGTACAAAGAAGATACAGAGATGTGGGTGGTGCCTGTGGCTCAGTGAGTGGGGTGCTGGCCCCAAGTGCTGAGGGTGGCGGGTTCAAACCTGGCCTGGCCAAACTGCAACAAAAAAAGCTAGGCGTTGTGGTGGGCGCCTATAGTCCCAGCTACTTAGGAGGCTGAGACAAGAGAATCGCCTAAGCCCAGGAGTTGGAGGTTGCTGTGAGCTGTGTGACACCACAGCACTACCAAGGGCAATAAAGTGAGACTCTGTCTCTACAAAAAAAAAAAAAGAAGAAGATACAGAGATGTAAATACTAAAACTCTAAAGGCTAACAAGAAAACCTACAGAGAAGAAACCTTGGGGGAACTTCAAGGAAAGTGGCTGTGGATCCTGGGAGAGATGGGACTGGAGGTTTGGGCTGTACGCTGGGCCCAAGGCCACTGAGTCACCCCAGGACCCAGCCAGACACCAAACTGGTCAGGAGTTAGACCACCACCTCCCTGGGGTAGAGGCAAGTGGGCTGGAAGGGCTGGAAACAGGTCTTCTGTGGCTATCAGACCTCTGAGCTCTTGGTCCCTGGGCCTGATCCACGAGTATGATGGGTGGGACCCAAGTGCCTAACACAGGCAAGTCTCCTACAGTCGTGGTTCTCCCAGGAGGATCTCTTGTAAGCAGCTGCAGTATGTGGCATATTGTTCACAATTAGAAAAGCATCCCCCAACTTTACTGAACCAAAAATCTTCATTCTGTCTTCATTCTCATGCTATCTGCAAACTGATGTTTTTACCTTTACTAAAGCTATAAAAAATAGAGGGCGGGTCATGCTCTGATTTTTAGACCACAGGCTGGACTTTTTAAACAGGAAGAACAGAAGTGATCACTCCAAAAGAAAGGCCACACTCAGCCTTCACAGACAACCCTCTCCCCACCCCTGCCCTGCCCCACCACTCAAGCCTCTCCCTAAATGATTAAAGGGGCTTCATTAACTCCAGGACTGTGGCCTGAGCGAGGGCACCTGACCTGTGCTAGCTGAGGCCAGGTGAAAAGCGATTTCTCGGAGAGAGAAAGGCTCTTCTCTCTCGACCTTCCTGAGTTGCTGTGGGTTACACCTCACCCTGATGTTCTCTTTACACCTGCAGAGGGGCCGGGGTTCCGTGCTTTCCGTGGCTGGCCCTCAGGAGGGTCTCCCTCCACACCTCCAGGGACCAGTCTGTGGACAAAGCCATAAATCTGCTATCTTCCCTTCTGTTCCACTTGTAAGACTTTTGAATGTCAGAGATGGTTTGCACAAAATATGGGGGAAGATGACTTTTCAGGAAAAAGTGTTTATTGTAGTTTGATGATAGTCAAGTTGTAGCTGTAAAAACAAAGTGAATACAGGACAGCTGTCCCTTAGTATCCAGGCGGGGGTGGGGCAGTGTGGTTCCAGGACCTTCCTTGGATCCCAAATCTGAGTCCTGGATAAAGAACCTCGTGCTATCTGCCATAATCTGTTCCATCCTCCCGTGATACCATGGTGCCTGACATGCTGTCGAGGCCCTGTGAGTAGCTGAGGTCCTGCGTTTGTACTTCAGGGAACAATGACAAGAAGAAAGCCCATTCATGTTCAGTACAGATGCAAAATTTTTCCAAATATTTTTAATCCAGTGGTTGAATGCATAGAATCAGAACCCCTATAGATAAAGTGTCAACTGAACTAGGGAATCTTTCTGGCGGAAACATTTCTTAGATGTTTATGATCTCATCCCTTCAGAAAGAGCAATACAGGCATCCCTGAATTTATGGCACTTTGAGGTACTGGGTGTTTCACAAACTGAAGGTCATCGTCAACCCTGAGTCCAGCAAGCATGTCCGGTATCTTCTCTTCAGCTGCGTGTGCTCATCTCATGTCTCTGTGTCAGAAGTAATAGAGTTTCGGTGATGGGGGGTTGTCTGAGGTTTTTCTGAGATACAGCCTCACTCTGTTGCCCTGGGTAGAGTCCTGTGGCATCATCACAACTCACAGCAACCTCAAACTCTCAGGCTCAAGTGATCCTCCTGCCTCAGCCTCCTGAGTAGCTGGGACTAAAGGTGCCCACACCTAGCTAACTTTGCTATTTTTAGTAGAGATGGTGTCTCACTCTTGCTCACGCAGGTCTCAAACTCCTGAGCTCAAGCAATCCACCTGCCTCAGCCTCCCAGAGTGCTGGGATTACGGCATGAGCCACTGCACCTGGCCAATTAAGTATTTTTTAATTAAGGTATGTGTGTTCTTTAGACATATTATACATTTGAAAGACAACAGTATCCCGTAAACATAACTTTTACATGCACCAGGAAACCAAGTGACACGTGACTGGCTTTGCTGTGACAGCCCCTTTCTTGTGGTGATCTGGGACTAAACTCACAAGAGCTCTGAGGTGAGTGAGGCTGCACTTCTTACTGAAAATACTTCATTTTAAAAGGCATAACTCAAGAACTACCAAGACTCTTCAGATGGGGACTGCAAGGCCCTGGGAAGTGGACAGCCTAGGCACGTAGCTAGTGGAAGCAGGTGCCAGGCACTAGGTGTTTGGCTTGCCTCAACAGCGACTGCCCCTGCATGAGTCACCCAGCAGTCGCTGTTGTGCTCTAGAGGCAGATCTGATTCCAGCATGGGTCCCTACAAGACCCTGAGACCCCAAGGCCTTAGGGTTGGGTGGGGTGGGGTCCTGTCCTCTGACAGGTGCTTGGAAAAGGAGTTGTCTTCACAGGATGCGAAGGCCCCATAGCGGGAGAATCAAGTGTAGCCAGACAGTCAGCTGAAACTGGTCATGTCCTTCAGACCCTCCATGGTGAGACGGAGCAGGAAGCTGCAAGCACAGCCCACAGCAGGGAGACCTTTGCTTCTCCCCGGGAGCTCGTCCCAGGGCCACCACTGCACACTAGTGCACACAGCCACCAAAACACAGCTTCTTCATACATGATTTCTGCAACACTGCACAACATACAAGCAGCCTCTGCCGCAGGCAATTCCGTTCCAGTTTAAGGTAACACAACGGGGTGCGTAGATTTCTCAGGGGGCGCCGCTGGGCTTCCCCCACCTCCCCAGGCACCTTCCTAGAGTCACAGAATCATCTAAACAAAGCCCCCACTGCCTAGCAGGGGTGGCCTAGTCGTCGTACCTGACCTCGGCCCGCAGCTCCTTGGTGACATAGTCCGTGAGCATTGCCAGCAGCTGCTGCTGCAGGGCCTCACTGCCCATGACCAGCGCAGTCAGCTGCACGGCATCCGTCCAGTCCAGGTTACTGACGATGGCAGCGGCTTCATTAAAGAGCTTCTGCTGCTCGGAGGGAGGCAGCTCCATTAGGATCTGCGGCACTGGCTTAAACTGTCCACTTGTCATCCAGGCACCTAGCAGACCCCCGACGGCCCCCCCTGGAAAACAAGGAGGGGTCCAATTAGTGGGGCCTTATCCATAACCCAGGGTGTCACCTGGGTTCACACTGAGAGCACGTCCACTGTTGTGATGAGTGGGCACATTCATGAGTGGGTCAGAACGGTCTGTGTGGAGGCCAAAGGCTTATGTGGCCTTCGGCGTAAGGCTACACTCTGACCTCAGAGCTGTGCTAACCAAAATCTTTTCTTCATGGGTCAACGAAGGCCCTGGTGCTTCCCATAAAAGTGTCTCTCTCATCACAACGGAGAGGCCTGAGAAGCAAACGCATTTTCAAGAAAACCTATCTCAGTGGAGAGGCTGAATTTTCCTCATTTGGTGGCTGACATGCTCCTTGACCCTTAAATTAGGAAATTTCTAGTGTACTCCTGTGGTTAAGGGACCCAGGGGACAGATGAGGAGGCTCTTTTCTCCTAAAGCAATGCTTTTTTGTATAACCCTGCCTAGTTGTACAAGGGTAAATAACAGATCTGATGTAGTTTACTATTTCTGTTTCTGCTACCCAAAAAAGGTACAAACATTTTAAAATGGAGGTTTATTGCCAAAGTTAAGGCGCTCCATTTTGGGACATGAAGAGCACGTATCAACGGGGAGTTCTACCTGCAGCGTGGTGTGGGTAAGGGATGGTGCCCTCAGACAGAGGTCTCAGGCTCAAGTGCCTTTACGGGCCAGGCAAGTACTGAAAGGAGTGAAGTGGACAGAGTGGGTCTGCGATGACCTGGAGAGCTGGGTCCCTATCTACAGTGGAGCTGCTACCCTGTGCCAATTAGTTGCTGCTACATGGAATACCAGACTTGTATATTTAAAATCTCTCACAATCTGGCTTGGCACTGTGGCTCAAATGGCTAAGGTGCCAGCCACATA